ACAGCATGTTCTAAAGGACAGAAGCTGCAAGCCTGGTCACCAAGCTGTGAATAGGGAGTGAGCAATAAAACTTTTTCATATCTTTAGCCAGCTGATGTATTAGACCCTAGAGGAGAAAGGGGGGCAATGGAGTTAGAAAGCAATAGTGTGAGTCTTGAATTTGCCCATTACATGTTCTGGTGTTATTCTCAACGTCAGACAAAACATATAGAAGTCATGATTGGTTCATGCCAAATAGTCTTTAGAAGAAAGATGCTGTTGAGTAGGAACACTATACATTTTTAATATTGCTTATATTTACCAAATTTATTATTATTTTCTGCAGAAGTATTTAATATACTGAACTTAGAAGTAGAAAAGATGAATTGCTTGGTTTGGTCTACAATGGGTATTTTTTCCTTTTTTGGTAATAAAGTGATAGATCATGATATCAAAGCAAATATGGTCACTATATTTTAAAAGATAATGAAAATCTACAAAGATCCAGAGAAAAGCAATATATATGGTTAAAAAAAGTAACGAGGAAGGATTAAAAAGTCAGGTCTTTATTCCCTTCCATAAAAAAAGGCTGTGACCTTTTATTCATATAGCATTTGAATGAAATTGAGGAGAGGTTTATAAAATGCAGGCAGATGAACAATTTCAAAAGAACAGTGTATGATGAAAAGGGAATTGTTACAATTGGGCATTAGTAATCAGATTTCCCAAAACATGACAGCATTTTCTGCTTTAAATAAAAGAACACCAAAAATCCATTGTTGGCCCAGTTGCCATATTAAATCCATAAAATACCTGATTTCATTTAATTCTCTTATTTTCCAGTGAAGGAAACTTAAGTTTAAAGAGATTAAAGAACCATTTCTCAGGATTATCTAGTTACAAGGTAACAGAGAAAATTTGAATCTGGGTCTGTGTGATAAGCACGCTTATTCTCTTCCACCATACAGAATTTTCTTCCTGTTTTTATGGCATTAACAGTAAGGAACAACACATCTCCATATCAATCTGTTTATCTACAACTATCTATGTTTTATATCTGTGTATATTTGCATCTGTATCTAACCATCTATACCAAGACTTGTAAACTGTGGCCTTTTTCTATAGAATCTGCAAACTAGAAATGACTTTTCATTTTAAATGCTGAGAAAAAAATTTAAAACGTAGTACTATGTGGAACATGAAAATGTGTAGGAAATTCAAATTTCATTACCTACAGGTACATTTTCCTGGAAACACAGCCACACATCTCTTACATATTGTCTAGGGTTACTAGTGTGCTACGAGGGCAGAATTGAGTAATTGCCACACAGACCTGTTCGGCCTACAACGCCTTCAATATGTATGATCTGGTTCTTTAGAGAAAAGGTTTGCTTACCTCTGCTTGATTGTCTATTTTTCTGTCCATGTTGTTTGTTAATTACTTAAAGAAGGTGTCCAAAACTGACAGCTCATGATAAACGCTTCCCTGAAAACTTTTCCCATCTTGTTACCCACTTTTTTCTTTTTTTCTTAATTTGCAATTGGCTGTCTATTTTGCCAATTTGCTGCTTATTGCCTGTGTTTCCCTGTAGAATATGAGCTTTTGGGCAAGGAAGTTTTCTGATTTGTTAGCTATTGTCTCCTTTTTATCCTTGATAGAATGGTGAACCTCACAAACCATTTGCTACATGAATGAATGAATGAATGAATGAATGAATGAATGAATGGTAGCACACTGAATCTATGCTCTGTTTCTCTGGCAGGCTTTCCTGGGGTTTGATATATGCCAGCTTCATCCTTATCATGGCCATTTTGATGGCCCTTATTATAAAGTCTGCCCAAGTTGTCATCCTAACTGGTTTCGTGGTGGTCTTTATTCTGTTTCTCTTCTACGGCCTGTCCTTGGTAAGTTGGTGAATTCTCATTTTCTTTCTCTTTCTCTCTCTGTCTCTCTCTACAGTCATGTGCCACTTATTCTATCTTCACCTCTTCTGTTCTGTTTGCTGTCTGCATGAAACAGTTTCTAGACACTACTAAAAAAAAAAAAAAAAAAACTGATGAAATTTTGTATTAGCTTTCCATCACTAAAACAAATGCCTGAGATAATCAACTTAAAAGAAGAAAAGGTTTATTTCAACACTAGTTTTATTTTTGTTGTTGTTTTGTTTTATTTTTGGTACTAGAGATTGAACCTAGGGTGCTTACTCACTGACTCACATCTGCAGCCTGTTTTATATATTATTTAGAGACAGGGTCTTGCTAAGTTGCTTAGAACCTTGCTAAATCGCTAAGACTGACTTTGAACTCACAATCCTCCTGCCTCAGCCTCCTGAGTTGCTGGGATTACAGGTGTGCACCATAATACCTGGTGTGGCTCACAGTTTTGATGATCAGTCCATGGTTGGTTGACCCTGTTTCTTTGGGGCCTGTGATTGGGAAGCACATCACAGCAGCAGTGCATGGTGGATCAAAGCCGCTCATCTCATGGCCAGGATGCAAAGAAAGAAAGTAGAAGGGACCCTAAGGCTCCTTAGTCCCATTCCAGGGCACACACCCAGTAATCAGAAGATTTCCCACTAGAATCTATTCTTAAAGGTTCTGTCAAACTACCGAAGACACCGTGGGCCTAGAACCAAGCCTTTAAACAGAAGGGCCTTGGGGGAACCCTCATCTAAATCATAGCAAACATAGCTTTTTACTCAGCATTTTTCCAACTGAAGTGCTTTTCTTCTGTCAGATAACTCTGGCTTTCTTGATGAGTGTACTGATAAAGAAACCTTTCCTGACCGGCCTGGCCATCTTTCTCCTTATCATCTTTTGGGGGAGCCTAGGATTCACAGCATTGTACAGACATCTTCCTGCATTTTTGGAATGGACCTTCTGTCTTCTAAGCCCCTTTGCCTTCACTGCTGGAATGGCCCAGGTAAGAGTTAAAGTAACTCTTTTACTTTTTAGGGAACATTCTAAACAGATTCCCTCAATAATTCAAGCCACATGTACAAAGCATTAAAATTTACATGCGCCTTTTGTCAAGACAAACACTTAAGGGACAAGAGTTTTTTTTTTTTTTTCCTCTCCGCATAATTATTTATTTCTTAAGTCATTAAATATAGGATTGTACTCTATGGTTGCTGTGGTTCAGCTTCTACTTGTAATTGATTGCCCTAGTTAACATTTGTCTGATTTAAATTTAGAAAACATGACCCTCAATACTATTGAAGGATTTGAAAGCCAGGAATTTAGAATAAATCTCTTTTTATATTTAACTGGTCATTTCATTATAAAGCTGAACCTCTTCAGAAAAGCTAATTCTAGTTATAACATTATGACTATAAAAGGCTAAATGGAAAGTTATGCTCCATGGTAACTCATTGAATCTTACTATGACTCAATTAGAAATCGTTCTGCTCAAATGCTAATATGCTTCCCCGCTCCCTGTTTTTGTGCTGGATTTGAGACGCCTCCCGGACACCCTCCTTATCTCCATCCTAATCCTATTGAAGTCTTGCATTAGGTTAAACTGGAACATCACTTGAGTTCCTTTAATTCCTAGAAGACCTCTGTGCTGTCAATTGTGGTTTGCAGATAGATAGGTCGATTGCTTTGCATGCCAGTAGATCTGAGCTCTGTAAGATTCAAGTTGTGTTTGGTTTATCTTTGCAACTCCAATGTCTGAAAGAAATGAGAAAATGATCATTTTAATGGTGTATCAATTATTTCTTTAAAAATTTAATGCTATGTTAACATTCTGTATATCTTTTCCCAGCTTATACATTTGGACTATGATGTGAATTCTAATGTCCATTTGGATTCTTCAAACTCCTCATATCTAATAATAGCTACTCTCTTCATGTTGGTCTTTGATGCTCTTCTCTATTTGGTATTGACATTATATTTTGACAAAATTTTACCCAGTAAGTAGAAGCATGGTTTTATTCAACACAATGTTATCAATTGCATTTATTTAAAATAGCTGTCTGCAATGTACTGTATATAAATTATCTAGCTTTTTTTTTCTAAATTTCTAAAACAGGACAGATAATATTCTGCACTCTGTATGAAGAATTACCATCTAAGTCTTGGCTCTTCTCTAACACTGAAGGCTATTTCTTTTTAAAAAGAGGCACTTGCAAGAGTTTATGGATAATGAATCTGTTAATACAAATATAGTTCAAGAAAAAGAAATGGGTAGCCCTCAGATTTGTACTTGGTTATAAAACCTAAATCAACAGAAACAAATCCACTACAACAATGATTTATGTGGTCACTATATAACAATCAAGTAAAATTTATTCTAGCAGAAGAATTTATCTTAACAAATTAAAGAAAATAATATCATTACCTTAACATACACACTAAAATTTGATTAATATCCAACATTGAAAAATGCTAATAAAAAGATTTTGTCACCCTAAAAATAGAAGAGAACATATTTAGCCTGACCAAGATCAATAAAAAATTTGAAATATATAATATTAATAATATGTAGAAACTTAGAAATGAAAACAAAATGCTTTGATAAAACAGGAAAAAAGTTTAAAAAGACAAATTGAGAACAGTTTAATAAATCTAAAATTCTGGAAAATGAAAAACTTCTGGAAATGAAACAATTTGGAAAATAAAAATTTGAAGACAATATAATTACCCTATTAACTTTTGAGACATAGCTAACTTTAATAGTACATAGAATATTGCAAGGATAAACTTAAGATAATTTACGTACGAAGGGAATACCAGGATATTCAGTTTCCCTAAGTGAAGTTATTTTGCATTGATTGACACATCTTAAATATTTTTTACTTTTTTATTGTTGCATTATAATTATACCCAATAGTGTAATTGCACAAATTATAGCAATATAATTTGGTCAATTTTGTTTCACAATGCCTCCCCTTTTCCTTCCCCCTTCCTGCTGATCCCCTTCCTCTGTTCTACTGATCTCCTTTCTTTTTCCATGAGAACCCTCCACTCCCCCACCCCACCTTTTTTTCTCTTGCTTCCACATATGAGATTAAAAAAAAAAAAATCTGAGTTTGGCTTATTTCATTTAACATGATGTTTCAAGTTCTATCTATTTTCCTGCAATGACATAGTTTCATTCTTCTTTGTGGTCGAATAAAACTCTATCAACATTGACAGATCTTTAAAATCAGGTTATTCTCAGTAATTGAAGAAAAGATTGCCAAACCAATTCTAGTAATTTTGAAGAAAACATGATTATCAAAAGAGGTATTGTAAGAGCTCAGGGAGGCAAGCACTTCTTTTCCAAAAAGAAGAAAACTGTGTTTTGCTAGCTATGAATTAATGAGTTTGAAAATCATCTTGTGGAAGATTTTTGTTGAAATTAGAAATAGTTTGTAAACTCTATTGAAAGGGAAATTTCCAGAAATGGCATCTAGCTGTAGTTCATTGGGATAAATTATTCCAGAAAACATCATGTTGATTTTCACAAGGTCACTATATTAAGTGACCAGAAAAAAATAGATGATGTGGTGTATCTGAACTTCATGATAATATGTGACAACAAAAGTCCTTTCTTTATCCTTAAAGTAAAAAGGACACATACATGGTGTTTAGGTAGCATTATATTTTTTAAAAAATATTTTTTTTTTAGTTATAGGTAGACACAATATCTTTATTTTATTTTTATGTGGTGGTGAGAATTGAACTCAGTGCCTTATGCATGCTAGGCAAGTGTTCTACCTCTGAGCCATAACTCCAGCCTGGTAGCATTATATTTTTAAAATAAAATTTAATACACCATACTAGATGATAGCATTCAAAGGCAACTGTTGAGCAATAGGTTGACCGTGACCAGGTGACATTTTTAACAATAATTCCAAGAGTCATATTGGAAACAATGGCTGTCATTTTACAACATCAGTCTTCTGTCTAAAATAGAAAATAAGAACACCAAAAGAGTGGGAAAATAAGGAGTTAATCTGGGCTCAGTTTGAAGTTATTGTTTCTTACCATTGAGGCCTCCATACATTAAATCTCTGGCTTTTGAAGATGGTATATTTTCCATCCCTTGAAACAATGGATGTCCTATTGGAGATTCATTCTGCACACAGAGTTTTGTTCAGATTAATTCTAAAGTCTCTTTTGGATTAGAATTTCTAAAACTTTATAATAGACTGAAAATGAAAAAGGCTAATGTTGACAATTTTGTTGAAAATTTTCATTTCTCTGAAAAAATATTTTGCAAGTAGTCAGTAGGTACATAATTGAGGGAGATAGATAATTTCACCATCATGATACTTACTCTGGAGTTATTAGTATGGAAAATGTATTTTTAAAACCAATCAGATATTCTTCCTCCTACCCCTTTAAAAGTGAGAAAACTAGAAAAATACACTTGGTAGAATAAATTGGCATGGTACATAAAAGTTAACTCAGAAATGTGCTCAACCAGATTATCCATCTTATCTGTGAACACTTCCAGAGTTCATTAAGTTCTTCTCTATTCTTTTCTTACTATTTCTTTTCCTACTCTATTCCTTCCAAGACTAATGATGATCAAAAGCTGCCCTTACCTTGATGAGAATTACCACAAAGAAGCTCTTCATTTTTCTCATTCTTAATATACATTTGCTCCATTTGTTTTATTTTTAAAATGTGTGCCTACTTCTATAGTCTCCTCTAGGTTCTCTGAGATAGCGTATCTTGTAGATGCTTCTGTCACTGACTTGATAAAACACCACCACTTGATAAAACATCACCATAGCCAGGGACTCTGGCAAGCACATTCCATGTCTGCCAAATCCAAGAGGAAGTTGTTCTTAACTGTCAGATTTAAATTTTTCTGAAACATCTCACTTTGATTTGAGGATATTTGCTACATTCTTCTCATATTAGAAACATTGTATCAGCTGGTAACATTCCAGTTACTTTTTCTTCATTGTTCTTTATATGTCAAAAGCAGTTACAACCATAATAGTCTAAGGTGATAATGTGGGTTCAGGTTTACTGTCAAAGCGTTGACACTCTGCCCTAGGGGGACTATGATCTTTGATATGGTGCCTGACCTGATATTAAATTGCATCCTGCCCATGTAGACAAATTTGGACATAGTCATTCTCCCTGGTTTTTCCTGAAGTCTTCGTTTTGGTTTCAACACCAAGGAGCTAATCACATGGTCCTTGAGAATGAAACACCTTCTGACCCTTCATGGGATGACTCTTTTGAACCAGTGTCTCCAGAATTTCATGGGAAAGAAGCCATCAGGTAACAAATAAATCACATGGAGGTGCAATGGAGAACAGGTCAGAGACCAGGGATCTACCAGCAACACAGTGCTGTACAAAGACTGCCTTCTGTGCCCTCGCACTACCTTCGCCAGCTTCCTGCGCTCCTGAAAGGCTGCTCTCACCCTTAATGGCACTTTATTTTCTCGCATTCTCAGCATTTTGATTTACTAATATCTTGTGGCATAGCAACAACTGTCACCATCTCGTTCTTCTCCTAGTTTTTCTCTCTCCTCTCTGCTGCTCTCCTTGTGATAGACAATACCACCAGCCCCCTTGTTAATCTCACCTCTTTTTATCTGTGATTTATTTTTTCTTTCTCCTCTTACCAGTTGATAAGATTAAGTAAAGATGGGGAAAAAAAAGAAAGCAGACCATACAGCAAAGGAGAGAGATTCCTGAGAGGTGGAGGGGAATGTGAGGAGTGAGCGGTAGCAGCCCCAGGCACCCTTGACTTGGAGGTGATGCTCATACTTCATTCATTGCTGGTTGCTTTGACTTCCAAGCAGCTAGGAATCCTTAATATCTTTGCTCAAATTTTGACCATCATTCATGCTGTGTTCATGTCACCCTTCAATAAAGCTTTTCTGATCCACCTCATCCACTAATCTTCTTAAACTCAAAACAGCACGTCCAGTACAAACAGACATGAGAGTAGTGTCCCTTCACCCCTCCTGAGGTGCTGCTTTGTCCTCCAGGATGGAGATCTCCCTACAAGCTGGAACACTGAGATTTATGCTCTTTCTAGTGCCTAGTAAGGAATCATTCCTATCATAGCAGTAATAGAAATCCTTGATTAGAGAAAGAAGGCATTTTGATTTACTCAACAGGCAAGAAAAAGGATAGTAAAGGCTTGTGAATTTTAGGTCAAAAGGTTTGTCCCTGCTCTAGAAAAATCATCTCTAGCAATGGTGGAGGCATGGGAAGCAGAATCTCACATGGCTGGCTGACAGGATGGTCCAAGAGGCCTTGTCTGTGGCAGGGGAACCCAAAGCCCCCCGTCCTGCTTCATTCCTGCAGCCTGCTCTGCATCCAGCAGATCAGTTCATAGTGCTCTGCACCTCCAGGTCATTTTATCCCAGAGTCCAAGCCGGCAGAGCTCACCATCAACTCTCAGAAGAGAAGGCAGAAGATTGAAATGTCAATTAAAATATATTATTAAAGCATCCAGAGAGAAGTTTCTACCTAATCTAGAATCTACTGCCTAAACAACAAGGGAACATTTCATTAAAACTTATGGAAAGAGCCCAGCATATGTATGGCTTAGATGAAATGAAGGAATAAACCAAATGGATACTTATGATTCCCTGAAAAAGAAAAGATGAGGAAAGAGAGGCTAGAAAAAGCCAAACAACTTGCCCAAGTCTTCACGGTTTGTATAAACCCTTGTATGCCCAACTCAAAGTTGTGGCAGCAACTAATGATCCTCTCAAGTCACTGCTGCATTTCACTGAAGGTTATCAGTCCTGTGAATTGAATTGCATATGTTGAAACCCTAACCCCTGAAATGATGGTATTTGGAGACAGAGGCCTTGAGAACTAATTAGGTTTAGATGAGACCTCAAGAAGAGAGCCTTCATGATGGGATCAGCATGTTTGTAAGAAGAGAAACAGAGAGACACACTCCCATCATGTGAGGGCACAGCAAGAAGATCACCTTCTGCAAGTACTAAAGAGTCCACCAGGAGCCAAGTCAGTGGATATGTCAGTCTCAGACTTTCCAGACTCCAGAACTATGAGAAGTGAATATCTGACCTTTAACCATTTGGCCTATGGGGCTGAGCAGACAAATGCAACCCATCTGCTGGTTTATTGTGATAATGTACAATAAGGGGCCGGCTTAAAGTAGCCCTTCCACTCATTCCAAATCTTTCCTAGGAACTCTTTTGAAAACCTATCTTTGTTTTAAACTTTTTTTTTTCCTTGTCTTCTTCTTCCCCTCTCATGGAGGTTTGCTCTGTCCCAAGCCTTTTGCTTTCTGCATATCCTCTCTCATTTGTTCTACAAATCAAGGCTGTGTGACAGTAACCTGTTAGCCCATCCTACTGGTGCTGAATCAGTGAAGTTTGGGTGCACAGTGTCTGTAACAGAGCTAGTAAGTGACATGTCTGGGACTTTACCCAGGACGTTGTTACCATAAAGCCCTCATCTTTCTTTTAATCATGTGCTTTCTTTTCTTTTTCTTTTTTTTTTTTTTTTTTTATTTCACATCCAGCTCTCCTCAGCTCCTGTCATCTGCCACAGCCCTCTTAGTGACATACTTCCTTGTGCTCCCTATCCCTCCGTTTGTAGCTTGTCCAAGTGGTGGTGATCAGGGGGTGCTGCTTCTAACAAGACGCTTTAGATGCTTCTGGCTGTACTTAATGGGGAAAGAAAGAAAGACCCTTAGATTTTCTTGCAAACTCAAAGACTTGGTTTATCCAGCCTCTATCTCCATAACTTCCTCAAAACAGTTCCATTTTTTTTTCTCTTTTACAGAATCAATAATCTTAAAAAAGAATTTACAGGAAAACATGAAAAAGTAGAAGCTTTAAGAGGTAATAAAATAAAATATTTAACATGGCCGTTTGATGTAGGGACTGTGCCTCAACATTATAGCACCTTGGTGGAAATTAAGGACTGGTCATCCAGATATTATAATTCTCCTTTATTGAAACACATTATATTTCCTTTCAAGTACATAAAAACCATATAACAATGTTAAAAAGGAAGATCATACAGGAGGGAAAGATATATGATAGTATACAATTCTTTATTTTCAACTCATTAATGCTCTAGTTTAAAGCTATCTTTTAAATTTTTAAATTAAATTAAATTTATTTACTTTTTGGTATCAGAAATTGAACCCAAGGTGCTTAACTACTGAGCCACATCCCCAACCCTTTTTTTATATTTTATTTAGAGATTGGGTCTCACTAAGTTGCATAGGGCCTTGCTTGCTGAGGCTGACTTTGAACTCATGATCCTCCTACCTCAACCTCCTGAGTCACTGGGATTACTAAAGCTATCTTTTTAAATAGCTGGCCTCTCTTTAAGGATAAAAATGTTTTTATGAAAAAAAATTTAATCTTATAATGACTTGCCATTGACGATGCTATGTTGTGAAATGTTTATTATATGAGACATAATTTTAAAAGTAAGAACTTTAAGATTGATTTAATTTTGAATAATGGTAGCCAAATATATTGATGCTGAGAAAAAATATAAAAATTTCAGAGAGGAGGGGGGATAGTAGAGGATAGGAAAGGTAGCAGAATACAACAGTTACTAATATGGCATTATGTAAAAATGTGGATGTGTAACTGACGTGATTCTGCAATCTGTATATGGGGTAAAATTGGGAGTTCATAACCAACTTGAATCTAATTTATGAAATATGATATGTCAAGAGCTTTGTAATGTTTTGAACAACCAATAAAAAAATTTAAAAAAAATTTCAGAGACTGCAAAGCTACTATGCAGGCTTGGAATATAATGTTTTTGAAATCATGCCAGGTCTGGGATTGGACATATACGAAGGCCAGATCACTGCCCTCCTTGGTCACAGTGGAGCTGGGAAAACCACGCTGTTGAACATACTGAGTGGACTGTCAGCCCCAACGTCAGGTGAGAGGACAGTCATCCAAGGACAAGCTCAGGCACAAGTGAACCACCTGAGTCTTTCTTCAGTTAGCTTCAATAGTCATATTAACTACTTGTCACATCAGGTGAGGTGTTTAAGAGAAAATATTTAGAAGTTTCCTTGAACACGACACAAGGTATACATGAATCAGAACATTGTATGGTAACCTATTAATATGTGCATTTTTAATGATCT